CAACTCGGTCACGGCTCCTGTGGTCCTGCCTAGCTGGTGGTGCTATTATAGTGCCGCTGTGACCGCCGCGGGTGGGTGGTGGTGGGGAACAGGAGGGGGAGAGGAGGGGGAGGGGTGGAAAACGAGGAGAATTAGACGGGGTTGGGGTCTGGAGATAAGAAACTTATGACATTCTGGAACGCCATCTATCATAGGCCGGTGACAGAATCGAACACCGAGGCCTGTCTATGTGGACTGTGTCAACGGGTCAATTACTGGTGACTGTGTGGTGATAAATAGTGCCGAGTTGGTGAGCGGGTGCTCACAGTGGTATGATTATTAGTGATAGTGGCAACTCGTAACCCTGCGTACTTCGTCATGATATCGTTTTTTGGGTGAGTACACTTATCATATGTCTATCTAAGAATGACGAAATAGTATGCAAGTCCAACCCATCAAATATGAAATTTCAAATCATATGGTATCTTAAGACAAATTATTAAAAATTATTTACCTCTACGTCCACATATACCAGAGGACCAATGAGAGGGGCTTAGAGAAAAGTGGGTAAAAGTGGATTTCGACACCCGCATTCTCACAACAAGTTAAGAAAATCTTTCGCGCATGACATCACGGCGACCTATATATTTGGCGCCACGCGGAGAGGGGAGACCCTGGAAGTGTGTTCTAGGTCATGTAAGCTACGATTGGAGGGTTAAACGTTACTTTTTCCGAAAAAAAATGGACATCACTTTTGACAAAAATCTGGAGCAAAGTTTCGTCTGGTTCTCGTGGGTCTTCTTTTCCACGAAGTTTATTATCAATAGCGTGTTCCAAATACTTTGTGACTTGTCTGCTCCGTTGTTTTTGGCACCGGTATCGTCTGCAGTCTGTTTACATTGTACGGTCGGCAATGTAGCTCGTACTGCTATTACTGAAGCAGTTTCCTCTTTCCTATTTGTTGAAGAAAACAGCAGGTTGTAGGTTACTTTTATTTGTCTATCTATCTATCTATCTATCTATCTATCTATCTATCTATCTATCTATCTATCTATCTATCTATCTATCTATCTATCTATCTATCTCTCTTTCTC